CAGCAGAGTTTATGATTTCTGAAACACTGAAAATTCTCTCTAGATGTTTACTTAATGTAAATAATAAATGAAGTTACTGATGCCGTTGCTCCACATGTGCACAACGTTCTGACTCATACGGATCCTGCAGCTGTTGAATAAACTCAGAGGAAAAACTCCTCGACAGCTCCTCTTATTGTCTAGTGGAACGGACTGCATTAATTTTTCGTGAGCATCATTAATCTCGCCGTTCACAGTTGCAGTAAAGTCGTATTATTACGGACATTTCATTTGGAGATGGATGTGAAACCGCAGAGCAAAGCGAGCCAACGTCGGTGCTGAAATGTGGAAAAAATGAAAAAGTCTTTTCCAAATCACTTCAGGTTCCATCGAGCACCATCGCCTGTGAGCCAACCCGCTGAGTGGAGTTCAGACGTGAAGGGAAGCGTCTGACCCGGTACGTTTTCCATCGCATTTCTTTTTTAACAGTAAATTGAGCAGGATGTTCATTCAGATGCTGTCGGATTAACAGAAAGGAGCTATGAAAGGGGCTTTAATATGCAAAATAGCTCAATATCAGCACCAGTCACAGGTGTCACCTTTCAGCAGCACTGCAAGAAACATCTTTTTTTTATGATTGTAAACTAAATCTTTAGGTTTTGGACAATTAATCAGACAAAACATGAAAACGTAAGAACGTCAGGAGGCGAAACACTTCAGTTATTAATGTAAAATTTGAGGAAAACTGACTGATTCTTGAGGAAGCTTCTTGAAAAAGTCTAAACATCATGAACTCACTAAAGAAAAAACTTTACATGCATATTGAGGACATGAACTGTTTCCGTCTTAAACCAGCTGCGGTCAAGAACAAAACACAAGAAGCTGCAGGATATTAAAAAAAACAGTTAAATTTTATCCCTGAGCTTGATAAATGTGTTGCCGCGCTGCTGGTGCATAAGTGGAAGCTTTATTAGTTGCAAGCCGCACAAAAAACATTCATCACCGGTGTGTGTTTTCTCCTGATTTTCTGCCGTTGTGCAGAAATTTTTAAGATCGCTTTGGGTTCAGGAACGCCTTCGTCTGGACGCTGACAAAACAGGCGGACTGAAACGGTGAAGCAGGAAGTACGGTTCGTCTTTAGGCAGCAAAGTCTGGCGAGGACGATTTAAAATCCACCGACGGCCACAACATTAAAACCACTGATGGGTGAATCACACTGTTCTGCATGTTACTGTTTTTTACTCACTATGATGTAAGATAAAGGAACTTTTTGCACATCTGTTCTATGACCCACGTACGTCAGAGAGGAACAAACACACTGAAAGGTATTAAAAAGATTGCTGCTCAGTGTCTAACTTTCATAACATCTGTGAAATATGAGATTCGTCTTTTACAAACTGACTTCTATCAGCGCAACAGACAGAACTTTAACGACAGAAACACAATAAACCACCGAGGATGGGATAAAAAAGCTCAGTAACGGCTCAAGGAACACAGCAAAGAGCCCGAGGCCTGATTATACGTCCACTGAATGAACAGAACCAATCAACGGAGGCCCCACAGGACCAAGAGGCTCCACTACCAACATCTAAATGCCCCCAGGAGGCCTCGTGTTCAGGCCTCGACCAGTCAGAGCTCTTCTGGCAGGTGGTTTTAATGTTGTAGCTCCTTGGTGCGATCACTTTAAAGGTTTTAAATGGGTTTGCGCCTCTGAATTCTTGCATCTTGGAGCGCTGAGGTCGACCAACCAGACGCTCCTGGATGTTCTGAGATCCAGGCTCACCTTTAGAGCCTCCTTCTAATCTCTGGAACAGCTCAGCTTCTCATTCAGGAACCGTTCAGGCTCTAGGAACGTTCAGCTGAGAACTAGACGCTTCACTGTCATTATACTGCAGTTTCAAACAATGAAAAGACATCCTGGAAACAAAAGGAACGACAGGACGTTTTAAAACTTGATAAATATGTAAAAGTTGGAGAGCAAAGTGCGGCGGATGAGATTAACACCCACCTCTTCACGCCGGCACTCGATTTAAATGGAGCTCGACACGCCGACTCCGTCTCTCATTGTGTTGTATCGTTTATCATTATTACGCCGTCCTTTTATACGGCTCTGTCTGTTAGTCATCGTGTTTTACGGTCTGCTGTTTTAATTATACAGCACTTTGGTTCAACTCCTGCTGTTTCTAAATGTGCTTAAAAAATACATTTGATTTTGACAGCAAGGCCGCAGAGGTTTGGAGATTTGCTGCACCGACAGTATTAAAACTACGCCGCGCCGTCCAACACATTATAAATGTGAGCAGTGGGACGGCGCAGGTTCTCCTCTCCTGTTGTATTTACTGGGTTGCTTTAATGGGAGAAACCTGCACGGAGAGTTTTTAAGTTTGAGCCTCGACAACTTTCTCTAATTAGGACGAGAATCAAAGAAAAAATGTAAAAAGTCCACTTCGATCAAGCCGCGTTGAAGGCAGCTACCTTAAGTCCTGCATCGGATGGCTGCGTGCCATTATTGATTTTATTACATAAAACTCAGCAGCAGAAAAAAAACGCATCCATTACTCCGACTTAGCATTCAGCTGCCGGCCGGCCGGCCCCGTTAGAGGTCCGATCAGCTGACAAGTCAGAGAGCGGCTCATGCAGGCGTTACGGCTGAAAGCCAGAGTAATGGACTCGCTCCATACTTACGTATGCGTTGGCGTATTCGATCTTGGTTCCCGTCAGCTCGGCTTTGAACTGAGTGAAGAACAGGTAGGACTTCCCCTGAGGCCTGCAGCGAGTCAGAGGCAACGCTCGTTAGCAACAGGTAGTCGTTAGTCATCGGCTTAAGTCGTACAAGAGTTTGTTTAAAACACGACGTCATGTTTTATCTTTAACTACAATCAATAATCAATAAGAGGACCACAAACATATCTGTGTGTAGCTGTGTGTGTGTATCTTTGTGTGTCTGCATGTGTGTTTGTGTGTCTTTGTGGTCGGCATGTGTGTGTGTGTGAATGTCTGTCTTTGTGTGTGTGTGTATCTTTGTACGTCTATGTATGGATGTTTCTTTGTGTGTTTATTTGTCTGTGCCCATGTGTGTGTGTCAGTTTGTGTTTATGTGTGTGTGTTTGTGTGTTCATGAGTGTTTCTGTGTGTGTGTGTTTGTGTTCGTGTGTGTTCATGTGTGTGTGTGTCTGTCTGTACGTACGAACCCGTGTGTCTTTGTATGTATCTGTGTGTGTGTCTGTTTGTATTCATGTGTGTCAGTGTGCATGCGTGTGTGTGCGTGTGTTAATGTGTCAGTGTGTCTGTTTGTGTTCATGCATGTGTCTGTGTTTCTGCATGTCCATGTGTGTGTCTGTTTATATTCATGTGTGCCAGTGTGCATGCGTGTGTGTGTGTGTGCGTATGTGTTCATGTGTCAGTGTGTCTGTTTGTGTTCATGCATGTGTCTGTGTTTCTGCATGTCTATGTGTGTGTCTGTGTAAGTCTGTGTGTGTGTGTGTGTGTATGCGTGTGTATGTGTGTGTGTCTGTGTTTCTGCATGTCTATGTTGTCTGTATATCTGTGTTTCTTTGTGTCATTGTGTGTGTGTGTCTGTCTGTACATATCCATGTGTGTCATTGTATGTTTCTGTGTGTGTGTGTGTCGGTGTTTCTGCATGTCTACGTGTGTGTCTATGTAAGTCAGTGTGTGTGGGTGTGTGTCATTGTGTGTCAGCATGTCTATGTAAGTCCATGCATCTGCACGTGTGTCAGTGTGTGTCTGTGTCTCTGTATGTGTGTCAGTCAATGTGTGTCTCTCTGCATGTGTGGTTGTCTACGTGTGTGTCTGTGTGTGTGTGTGTGTGTGTCTGTGTGTCTTTGTGTGTCTATGTGCGTGTGCGTACCTCCACACGGAGCAGGAGAACAGTCTGTCGTCCTCGCTTATCCCGACGCTCATCAGCCATTGCTGCAGAAACACAACGTTAGCACAACGTTAGAGCTGCAGCGTTCATCTTTACTTAACGTTTCCATCAGCGGAGACGTTCACTCACCTCGTTGGTTCCTCCCTGTGACGCGTAAGTGAACGTACATTCATGGTCCTCCTGCAGAGACGGAGCACAGAGTTAGAGCAGAATAAAGAGCTTCGGTATTGATCTGTGAGCGACTCTGACGAGCTGCTAATTACCGGTTTTCATTCATCTGCTAATGAATTCTGTCAAACAGGCCGGTGGGACGCCAGCTACTGGTTCGCCATCAGCAGTCAGTGTTGGTTTCAGTGTTTTAAGTCACTTTAAACAATCAACGGGCCCCACTGGTGTAAATATACCCTGTTAACATGTTGATATGATGGATTCTTTTATTTGCTAGAAGACAAAGTAGTCAGAACACGTCACGTCTGAACGTTTCCACCTTGAAACTGCAGCGAGACTCACATCTGAGGCTTTCACTGCATTATTTTAATGGAAAAAACTTGTAAATATGTGGTGTTGACACACAGAGATGAGTTTTTTATGGGTTTAATAAATGACCGAAGAAGGATTTTAGATTTTTCAGCATTTCTGTCTGTTGGTTTGTGAATGAAGAAGCAAGAGCTGGACCATAAATCTGTTGTTGTTTCTTTATTATAATCACAAGGCGATGATCTGATGTCCAAAGTGTTGATTTGAGAAACACGTCATTAGAAATTTACCTTCACCTATAAATCATTCAGTCTCTTGTTTTGCATAACTGTGAAACTTTGAACATCATTTTAATTATTTTATAGGATTTTTTTGGCCATTTTGGGATTAGAGCTGCATCAATAAATCAATTATTTGTCAACTATTAAATTAATTACCAACTATTTAGACAACCGATAAATCCATTTGAGAAATATTTTATGGAAAACAACTGATTGCAGCTTCTTAAATGTGAATACTTTTTGGTTTCTTTCTTTATAACTGAATATTTTTGGGTTGCGGACAAAACGAGACATTTTTAATCAACATTTTTAATTATTTTCTGACTTTTTATAGACTAAACAACTGAACTATTAATCCAGAAAATCAGCAATTATAATAAGTGTCAGCTGTCGTTCTAATTGGGATAAATTACCAGTAATATCGTGATGGTTTTCTACCACGTTGGCAGAAACACCAGTATTATTAGTGGGGCCTGTGGTGAGTATTTCCTGCTGTGACAAAGCAAAAATATCCCAAGAATGTCTGCAGGGAAAGAAAATCTCTCACCTAACCTGTTTTATGAACTAGTTCTGTTAAGTTTAGCAGCAGCCAGGAGAAAAACAAGATTCTCGTTACAAATTAATGAGTTTAAATATTAAAGTTAAAACCCAACAAACATGATAGAACATGCAGTTTTACCTGACTTTAATAAATATTAACCCTGTAATGTGATCAATTATGGAGATTATCCAAAGTTCAGACAAAAGTATACACAAAAACCAAACAAACCCATCAATTCCCTGGATCCTCTGTGAGCGAGTTCTACTTTAATTTTTAAGTGTATTATTTTGTGACCAATGTGACTAATGATTAATTCATTAATGCACAAATTAACAGGTGCAAACGAATAAGTTTATAACACTGATCTTCAATGTTTAAATGGCGGTGTTGCTCTACCGTCTCACATTGTGTTCAGAGTTTACTTCAGGAATAAAACTAAGTTCTGTAAAATATTTTTTGGCTGACTTTTAACAAATTTCCCATGTTTTCAGATGTTGGAATTTAAAAAAAGTGCATATATGGGAACATTCAGTGAAGCAAAAAAAAGCTTAATATGTTTGTAATTTTCATCATAAAGACAACATGGAAGTACCGTGTAACGCTGCACATATGATGACAACATATAAAGCCCTGTGTACACCAGTTTCTGTGCTCCTACCAGTGAGTTCACAGCAACGCTTTGTCGTGTTAAAATCACAAAAAACTGGAGTCTTACCAGATTTATTATACGTTGAATTCTACTCATATTAGAGGCCTCGGAAGTTGGTGAAATATCGACCAAAAGCTGTATTTTTAGCTGGAAATATATATATATATATATACATCTGTACACCTACATGAACTTTCTGGGGCCATAGGACCATTCACATTTAAAAATATTTCACTTTTTTCCATTTTAACGGACCAATAATAAATAATGTGGACCCTGCTGGAGCCATTTAATAATTTATATCTGCTGGAAACAATTTTGTCTGTGTCCTAACCAAATGTCATAACTGTGGGAGGTAAATATTTGGAGATGTTGAACAATAAAATAGCTTTTAAAATGCTTTTAAAAAATGAGAGAGAAGTATACAGGTATGAAAAAATATTTAAATTCTCCAAACTCATCCAAAATTTTTTATTAGTTTTGCATAAAAATTGAAAAAGTCTAAGAGTGCAGCAACAACATCCCGTGATTTCTGTCTGAATTGACACAAATCGACCCTTAAATCAATATTAAACTTGTTTTTTTAAACACACAAACAGCAGCTCGGTCTCCTCCAATCAGAGGAGCCGTTGTGGCGCTCAGCAGCGACGTGTCACCCTCTCACAGGCCGCGACGTCATCACAGTGCAACCACAGCTGACAGGCGGGATTTGTAGTTTTTCCCTTGAATTGCTCAAAACACCTGATTTTACACGTTTTAACAATCGAAACACACCGGTAGCACTTCATGTATGTTAAATCTAGTTAATATTCTGTTAATTACTGACGAAACAACAACAATAAAGCTCGTTACAATAAAACACACAGGGTGAATTCGCCTCCTTCAGCTACTTACAATCCCCTCAGTGAAGCTGTGCACCACTCCTCCCGGTTTAACGTTGAATTCCACCGTTTTCGTCCGTTCAGAAGACGCATGAGCCGGGACACATGCTGAAATCAGCACGGATACAAGCAGAAACGCCAAATTCCCCACACAGAAGTTATTGTTAGCCATCTCTTCCTGCTGTCTGCTGCTGGTGGTGTTTTTCTTCTTCTTCTGCTGCTGCTGAGATTTGCAGCAGACTGGACGCAGCAGAGGTGTGTTGCTGCCCCCACAGGTCACTTAGAGAACTACACCAATATTGTTAAATGTATGTGATATTTGTAGAGTCCAGAAACTCAGTCACAGTTTATTTGCTTCGCGATATTCCAGGATTTATAGCAAACTTTTGTAGTCCACAGACACAAAATATGAGTTACATACCATTTTGGGAGAAATGATCCTTTGAAAAAAATATTTAGTTGAACAAAAAGTAGTATTTGGGGTAGAATAAACCTTCACAATTTTAAGTACTCAGATATAAAGGAAGATTATGGGAGAAATAAACATGTTAAACCATAAACACCTGGACATAAATTATTATTTTCAGAGAAATGTACTTTCAAAAATACTAAAGTACTTGAACAGAAAGCATTTTAGGTGTGATAAACCTTTAAAACTATAACTACTTGAACAAAAAGGAGTATTTTGTAGGCAGTAAACGTATAAAACTATGAGTACTTGGGCATAAAGTAATATTTTTAGAAGATATAACCTTTTAAACCTTAAATACCTGGACTGAAAGCACTGTTTAGGGTGTAATAAACCCTGAAAACCAAGAGTAATTCAACATTAAGTAGTATTTTGGGTGGAACAAGCCTTTAGCGCTGGTTTCACTGTCAAGATAAACAAGGATCCTAGACATGGGGTCCTGAAGCAGCAGCTTCCTCTGCTGCAGACGTCTAATTTAGCTCCAGTGATGAGCCGCGGTAACGAGCTGTCAGGAATCTTTCCGTTATTTTGTGGATTCATTACTCAGAGTGCAGTGACACACACACACACACACACACACACACACACACACACACACACCTCTGTTTGGTTTTGTCTGGGTGTCTGTCTGACTGCTGGCTGCAGACCAGGCTGTTTGCTGAAGGATGTCATGTTCAGGTGTAAAGGTCAGAGGTCGCGTCTCGTCCTCCCAGATTTATGAGGAGCGTTAACATGCCACTGACGTCTCATTACAAGATCTCGCCTCGCTCACTTGTTCCTCGCTGAATGTTTTAACATCCTTCACATGGCAGAAAAATGGAGAGACGCTTGTGTTTCCTCCTCAGAGTCTGTTCACATCTTCTGCTCACTGATAATCACAGCTGGCAGAAGTGAGGATGTTGCACAAAATATGAATCGTTTAAAATCTGTCTTAGAATCAGAAGAACCTCCGAGAATATTAAAGGAACCCGGTTTGCTTTGTGGGTTCCTGTAGAAACGTTTAGCAGCTCAATTCAGAGACGACGTTACTGCAGGAGCCATAAACCACCAGGAGGATTTTCGTCTTCTTTCTCTGGACTTCTGTGATTTTACTAGATATTGTCTGTGATTTAACAAAACAGGTCAAATCTGTAAAACTACAGTTGATTTACTATTTTTCAAACCTTCACACATCAGTTTTATTTAAAATTCCAGCAAATATCAGAAAAATAACAACAATGTTGCTGATTTAAATACAGCAAAAACATATATATGTACATTTTCTTCTTCTTCTTCTTTGTTTTTACAGTCAGATGATGTTAAGGAACAAATTATTGTAAAAACACAAATTTCTGATGGGGACATTATTTACAGCTTCAGTCCGTTTTTTGATTTTAAACTTAAAAAAAAAATTATACAGTCAATAAGTTTATTTTTACTTTCAGCAATTTTCTGAGTTATTACTCATAATTTAGAAAAATAGGAAAAATCTGTAAAAATGAGTAAATAAAGTAGTATTTGCAATTTTTCAGTTTCATATACATATTTAGGATTTTAAATATCAGCGAATATCTGTAAAATAACTTTGTTTTGGCTGATTTACTTACAGTCTTTAAAAAAAATACTGCAATTTAATGGCCAAATATTGTAAAATAATTTTTTTAATACTTTTAAATTTTATTTTATTTTATTTTATTGTTTTCAAATGTGGACACTATTTCTAGTTTTTGCCTTTTTTTTTTTTTTTAGAGTTAAAATATTTTTTCTGTGATTTTCACTAGTTATTATCTGTAACTTAATAAAACAAGAAAAAATTGTAAAATAACATGAAATGGTTTAAAAAAGAATTACACTTAAAACCTGTCAGAAAACATGCTTCTTTTTTTCCTCCCAGTGTTTCTCAATGATAAATGCTGTACATGTACATTCTTTGGTTTTTCACACCAGCCGTCTGCATGTTTGTGGGTTTTTACGTCTGCGGACCCAGAAACCGTTCGTCTCCGTGACGAACACGTTTGGAACCAGAGGACCAACATTGTCTGACGCTCATGTGTAAAACCCGTAAAACAACACGAGCCTTTACGGCAACATTCAGCCCAAACATACTTGCAGGGTTCTGACCCTCCGCCTCCCCGTCCGGACGCTCGAGTCCACCTCCAGCCCAGAAATAACACAATAACAGGATTAATAGCAGCAGGCGGCCTGTCGAGTGTTTTCATATTTGCACAGCGGCTCCAGGAGGAAAAGCACCAGAACGGCTGGTCTATTTCAAACAGGGGGAAGCTGTTGAATGTGTAATGATGTGTGAACGTCCTGCCCAGGTAAACATTGTTCAGGACGTCAGACACCTGGCCGGGTAGCACCAGCAGGAGAGTCATTTCCCCTCCCAGAGAAGCACAAACAGCCTCTTTGCTGTAGACAAACAATTCAGAGGTAAACAGACGCCACAGACACAGAAACAGAAAGTTGGCGCCAAATCACGCGGCTAATGATGCAACTCCAGCCTCTGAACAGCAGCAGCACTGAGCAGCTCGACGGCGTCCACGTGTGCAGCTTCATTCAGAGCTAATGTGTCACTCGCTTTAGCTGCTCGGAGTGAATCAGCTCCGTGAAGAAAAACAACAAAACAACTTCCCAATCTGTTGTTCTGAGCTCAGAATAAAACTCCAAATGTGTGTCTGATTAAAGCAGCGATTCCACATCAGCGGCTGATTGGTGCTGATTGTGCTGCTGCTGCTGCTGCTGCTCGTCGGTTCTGATGCACATCGAGCCGTTGGATCGACTCCGACTGATGCTGATTCCAGCGAGCGTTTGTGCTGATTGTTGCGGCGGAAGTGTTGATTTAACATCTTTAATCCTCAGCGGGTTTCTTCTCGCAAACTTTCCAACAACCGAACTTTGTCTTCAATTAGAGCCGCGGGTGGGTTTCCAGAAACATCAGAAAAGTTCTGAATCAAAGAGCGAAATGCATGAATTTAAACTGATTGCAACACAGATCACGCTATTTGGTTCAGAGACGAGTTAAACTGGCACGAGTCAAGTGAAAATACGATTCAGTCGAGTGTTTCTGGACTTTATTTTAGCGTCTTTCAGCTCTTTTTCAAATCCAATCAGTTTTTTTTCATGCTGCTGTACATACACAGATGAGAGAACGTTTCTTCAGGATCATTTAATTAGTAAGTTCTGCAGAATGAACATCTGGGATAGACACTAAACGTTCACTCTCGCTGTCTCCTGAAGGGGGCGCTGCGTCCATCGTGTTGAACATGGAGAACCTCTTCAGGTCCTGGTAGGTCTTCAGGGACACAAAGACACACATGATGCTGCCCAGAGCTGTCTGTCTGTCTGTCTGCATCCCCTCCAGCTGTCTGTCCGTCTGGGATGCTGTCATGGAGCCATGTTTCTGTTAAAGCAGACACACAGCAGTCCCTCCACTCTCTGAGGGTTTCTCTCAGCAAACGTCCAGCTTGTTGTGGAGGGAGCGGACATTGGAGAGCAGGAGGACGGTCCTGCTGGTCTGGAGGGGTTAGCCTTTAGCCCAGCATGGATCCCGGCTCTCTTCCTCCTCCTTTGTTTACGTTCGTACCGTTTCCTTCTCTTTCGGGTTACTGCCGGAGTCGTCTCTGATCGGACTCCGTGTTGGTGTAGTTTGTCCACATCACAACCGATCTGACACCCAGCAAAGTCTCCCGGATGTAAGTTTTGCAGAATGAACGTCTGGGATACACAAGACACTCAAAACGTTCACTTTCATTGTCTCCTGAAGGGGGCGCTGACTTCAACTGACTCTGATCTGACTGCTAAGTGCAGCTAAGCTGCATTTTTAAAGCATCAGAGGAGCTTCATGTGTGTTTCTAATCTGTATAATGACTCTGGTCTGTGTTTGGAGAGCAGCGCTAGTCTCAGAACCAACAGAACTGGCTTTTTTTGGGTCTGAAATGTCATCGTGGGGCTAAATGTGAGATGTAAGCGTTCCTGTTTAATGTTGCTGCAGAATTCTGGATGATGTATCTATCGGTCATTTATCCTGTACGGACCGACCGAACCCCAAACGTCACCTCCACAGAGGACAAACGGTCGGACGTGTAAACCTTTTAGTCCATAATTCAGATCCACGTGTGTGTTTTATGGCGTTGTCTTCTCTGCATGGTTCTTGTTTCGGTGGATGATTGAACCTGAAACCTGTTTGTGTCACATCTCAGAACTCATGAGCTGAACTCATTGTTGCCGGGCAGCAGCAGCAGCAGAACCTGTGTTTGTAAGCCCAGCGGGCCTACAGCGGCCCACTGTGTGCTGCTGGCTCTGCCTCTTGTTGACCTGCAGTCTGAGACGCCTCGCAGACGTCCAGCCCACGATAAGGACGTCGTGGTGCCGCTGATGTCAGCAGTTTGCTGTCGGCTTTTCCTGGCTGTCAGCGGATCTGTGGAATTTCTCTCCTCCTCGCCATCTCCAGCGCCGTCCATCGGTCCGTCGGTACGGAGCTCCGTCACGCTCAGATCCACACCAGAGCTTCACCTCCACGACCAAAGATGGCGACACGGAGGCCCCGTTTGGATCAGAGGGCGGTTCCGGTCCAGTGAGATGTGGATCTGCAGAGTGTGGTGTCGTGTGTGATACGTCTTCATCAGGAGGCTCAGAAACCTTCAGCTGAAGCTCTGGAGGAATAAAAACTGACTGAAAACCGACTCACACCAGGAGTGGTACGGCAGAAAAATATCAATTAAATCAAAAATATATAAACGTAGTTTACACGCATAATGTAAAATAAAGTTTTAAAAGGTCTTTAAA